CATCGCAGGCACGAGCAGTGTCGTGGACAAACTGACCACTGCCAGTGCTGCAGTATTTCTCTGGTTTTAAGAGTGCGCTTGAGAGATGAGCAGATATTAATGAGTTGCCTGCTATGGATTAGTTTTCTCTGAGTGGTTTTTTTTTAATGGAAGTGGTAACACTATTGAAACGAAAATATTCAAAGACTGAAGCAGGTTGTAGAATCTCTGTCCTTGGAGAGGCTCAAGCTCGGCCGGAGAGGTCCCCGCACAGTCTCCGCTCGCTGGGCGTGCTTTGGGCAGAGGCCCAGAGCAGACATCTCCAGAGAGCCCCTCTGAAGCTCGTGGCTCTGCAGCAACCCCCCAGAAACCACCAGCAGCAAGTGTGAAATGCTCCTGTCGGGGGGTGAAAAATAATATCAACAAAGAGAAAATACTTCAAAGTTGTGGGTTTTTTTATGTAGGAGATATAATGCAATAATTAGGTTTGCTTGGTTTTGGAGATTTCTGCTCCAGTGGCTGAATATTATAACATGTCCACTGCACCTCTTCTAGCACCCAGGAAACAGCGTTGAGTCAGTCCTTAAGAGAAAATGTCCTGTTGTGAAATGTGGGAAGTAGGTGGATTTGCCTCTGCCTTACGTGAGTGTGGCATTCAAGATAGCCCTATGCAATCTTCACACTTTCCGTTTGTATAGATGCACTGATGTACAGCGTGAGATCACTTGGTTTTATTAGAACTCCTTATTTTGGCTTGGTTTGGGTTAGAATATTTCGGCAACCGTAGCTGGCTTGCTGAATTATAATCAATGATCTTCCGTGTTACAGAAGCTTTGGCATATTAATTTCCTTGTTTCTAGGTCTGTCAGGTTTTGCGTGAGTTGTTAGGGAAACGTGTTGTGTCTTAATCAGCTGGAGCCAGCATGGAAAATTTACAAGAAACTTTTATGCTTAAAATAAGAAATCCATAATAAATATTTTTGATCTTCATCCAGGCCTCCAGGCAATTTTCTCTGATTGTAAAAGCAAAAAGCTTGCAAAGGTTTAGCTTTAATTCTGACTCTACCGATAACTCCTGCAGCCTTTGTCCGTTTTGAACGTAAGTCGTGTTCAGATGTTAGTAGAGCATTTTTATAGCTAAGACAAGAGAGGATATTTCCACCAGGATTTTAAATTTAAACTTTTTGAAGGGTAGGTGTGGGGGTTTAGGTTTTTGTGTGCCCAGGTTACTTTCTGAAAAGACTGAAGTTTCTAATCGAGTTAAGATGCTTCTGAAGCTTTTGTCCAAAGTCTTACGTGTAGATGCACAAAGGCTTTCTAGTACATAGAAGACTGTGACCTGGAGGGCTCTGCGCATTGCTGCCAATGCTGTTTTCTTTACTGCAGCAGATTCCTCAAATGCGGTGGCCACGTGCGTCTCGCCCGTCTTTCTCACGCCGGTGAGTCTCTAAAATTGAACTGAGAGCAAGGATAGGAGGACGGTCTGTGTTAACACCCCCAGCCAAGTTTAGTGGATTGCTCTAGGCTTTCTAGCGTACACACAGGTTGCTTCTTTTTGAGGAAGAATGTTGATGTTTTGAGGTGAGAACAGGTTGGTTCTGCGGGTCGTGCTTATTCAAAACTACAAGTACTGGAAATGGAGGACTGGGACCTTTGGAGACTTAGATGGACATGCTTGCCTCTTGGCGTAATCCAGTAGGCATCTCTGGTGGCATAGATGACCCATAAGGGACTCTTTTTTTTTTTTTTTTTTTTTTTTA